GAATCTCTTATTATACAGAGGATTTCCAACTTCTACCAGAATACATGCACAAGTATTCAACAGATTTGTTTTAAACTTACACCAGTTGCCACTCGAATATTTCCTGATGGGGGTCGTATTCCAGAATGAGGCCTTCCTGTCAATCCAATTCCACCTCGTGAAACAGGGCGAGCTACTGAAGATTTGTTATTACTGGCCATTGTCTGTTCACTTTAACTCCTGTTTGGAAATAATAAATAGTTCAATTCTCCTTTGATGCCTTCTATAGTAAGACACTGATGACCCATCATATCCTTACTTCAAAGATTAAATTCACGACCATTTTTCTTGTAAACTGCCATTCCAGGTGACGCAACAAAGCTTAGCCTGCTTTAACTTTGTTCAACTTTGACATTAATGTTCCATTTAGAAATATGAGGTGATTTACAGCAACATTCTTTCCTCATCTCCCTATTATCTCACCAAAATGCAAGCCCCTCTAGTTACCTATTTTTCTTATGTTCTCATCCCCATACTCTGGTAAGCCTTCTTTCTCCTGAGGTATCTGCTGTCTTTCTTCTCTCCCAATCTTTTCTCTGTGCTTTCTGATCCACGATTAACTCTCTTATATTCTCGATCATTGTTTTTTTAATTTTTTTTTCATTGATTTTTATTTTTATTTTTTGCTAATAGCATAAAGGAGGAAATTCTCAATCTTGTTACAAGTACTTCCTATTACTCTTCACTTTAACAGAATCCTGGCTTGTCCTGAAGGTAACACTTTCAGTAGTGAAGGCTGTTTTAGCTTCTTGTTCCACAATTTCAAAGCAAAGGAGGTGGCATTCTCCTTGCTTGACAGTGTCACTTTCAAAATATTACTCTTCCACACCTTTAGAAAAATAAACAGGATGTACTTCCTTTGAGGATAAGGGATGCAACCATATTGCCTTGATCTTTCCTGGTTGCTGATACCTAGTGACCTCCTAATTTCTCCTCCACCTGTACTAAAGTCTTTTGTACCTAGTTCACAGCTTCTCTATTCCAATCTTACCATCATCCTGGATGATTTCCATTTGGATATTAGAACCAATATCCAATATTTTAGCTTCACGGTTCCCTGACCTCAATTTTAGTAACCATCTTAACTCCATTTCAGTTATTCATAGCCATGGCCAGACATGGAGCTTATCATCTGGAATTTTTTCATCTCAAACATCTTTTTTTTTTTTTGAGACAGAGTCTCACTGTGTTGCCCGGGCTAGAGTGCCGTGGCGTCAGCCTAGCTCACAGCAACCTCAAACTCCTGGGCTCAAGCG